CTCAGCGCGGGTGTGCGGGCCCTCACACACCCTCCGCCGCGCTCCCCGGGCCTGCAGAAGCCGCCGTTCCCACCCGGTGTCACCCCCAGCCCTGCTCCGCGGCCTGGAGAAGGAACCGGAGAGGTCCGGCAGCGCACGCAAGGCAGCAGGATCCTCCCTGGATAATTCCCGGAGTTTTCCCGCCAGGGAGAAGCCAACAGGCCGGGATCCCCGCTGTAAGCGCTGCTCTGGGACCAGGATCCTGGGGATGTGTTCCCTGTCCCACGCAGCTTACGGGAAGTTTGGTTGTGAGGAACGACAGCAGACGGGCAGGACACCGCAGCAAAGTGCCCGTTTCGGACAGGACCACGCGGCGCCAGCTCTGTACACACGCAGCAACTGAGGACCAAGGCCTCTGTAACCAAGGCAACAGCATCCTTGCGTATACATCAGGGTTTATAGCAAAATCGGGTTCCAGTTTTGATCAGAGCTTGTGCCCCACAACGCACCGACATGCCCCCTCGCTACGTCCACGGCAAGAAGTTGCAGTGCAGAATCAGTCCCAGCAGCCAGTACGACAGGAAGAACCCCAGAACGCATCTGCCGAGGGGGCTGATTAATCTACGGTTCTGCAGCAGCCTCACAACGGGGTTTGCAGAGGTCCCTTTCCCACACGATCCAGATTTACCTAGGAGAGACTTCTCGGAGCGAGGTGTTGCCGTTTGATCATCGGTCTCCTGGCTGCAGAGCAAAGGTTCGTATTCTTGCAGCAGGTGAGCAGAGAACCAGTACAGGATGGGAGAGGAGGAGCCAAGGAACCGCGTCAGCACCTGAAGACGGAGCAGAAAAACCACATAAACCCCAGGTCTCCCTCCATCTGTGACCAGCCCGGATCCCGAGGCATGGAAAGAGCCATCCACCTGCCTCAGACTGCTGAGATACGGGGCTGGGAGTTACTACACTGAAATGAAACACCTCTCAGCGCAACCTGCTGTATTTATTAGGGCATTTGGGTACACAGTCAAGCGGTCCCCAGGCTGGGGACAAGCACCTAATTGTCACCATCTCACCGAAATCCTTGTCACCATCAGGACCTGAGCTGGGGCGGCAGCCCCAGTGGAAATCTGAATCTCCTATTGTTTTTTCACTGGAAACCCAACCTTTAGGACACAAGCTGCGGTTTAAAAAGACCTTTGAACACTTTATAGAGATTGGCAACAGGCCCTGGATCCTTTAACTGCCATCCCTGAAGCTCAGCCCAACATGATAATGACCCGGTATCCCTGTCCTCCGACAGCCGATTAGCAGGGCTTGGCAAGCCTGGCCCTGCGCACACGTCAAACGCCACCAAACACCACCCAGACCCTTTGATCCCAGTGCCGAGCACCTGGCACGCTCCCTCTGGGAACTCTCCAGCAGAGCAGAGGATCTGGTTTTGGAAACTCTCCGTGGAAGTAGCTCCGCAAGAGGAAAGGCCAAGCTTTTGGTTTGCATTGCCCTGTGCCGGGACAGCTCAGGCTGTGACTGTCACTGCCGCATCACCGCGCTGCGCTCCCCCCAAGAGATGACTCCCGTGTGCGGCTACGAACGTCCTACCTGCACGTGCACGCAGAAAAATCCGAACGCCAGCAGGACTGTGGCATGGACCACGTACACGAAGACAGCGGGGCAGCAAAAGCCAGCTCTTGGTTTACCCTCTTCTTCGCTCTTTCTTCTCTCTAGACCGAGAGTTAGGCAGTACCGGGGGTCTGCAATGATGTAGGTCCAGGCAGCCCACGAGCCCAGAAGCGTGACAGGCAAAGCCAGCAAGAAATTCGGTAGCTGCCTGAGCTCAAAATACCTGAGGAAGCCCACATTCCAGTAAATGTCTTGAATATAGGAATAGACCACGGGGAATCGCTGGGAGCACCAAGGGGGTTTAAGCCCATCCATGGCTGCCAAACGATAGCCCTTATCCAGAGCCAGCTGCAGCAGCGGCTTGGGAACAGCCCGCTCCAGGCCGGTGTCGGGACCGCAGAACCTCACGTAAGCATAATACTGAAATAAAGCAAAAGGTAGAAAAATCCCAGCACACATCAGAACCACTGAAGATGCCACGCTAAGGAGTTCCTTCCACAGCGGAGGGAGCTTCCTTACCGATCCTGAAGCCCCCTGGAGCCGGAGGGCGAAGCATTTACCGCGGGAGTAGAGAAAGAAGCCAGCATTTATAAGCCCGTTGGCACGCGCCCCAGAAGCAAGGGAGAAGAGCAGCCCACTGAGCCAGCTCTGCCCCTTCTCCAGTTGCCACATGGCACTGAATGCCAGGAAGGCAAACATGCTCTCCGAGTAAGCAGCTGCCATAAACACGTTGGCAGGGCTGATAGAAAAGAGAAGGGCAGCAAGGAAAGCCACCCCGCGACACCGCAGCACGACGCAGCCCAGCTGGTACAGGGCAGTGGCTGCCAGGACAGAAAAGAGGGAATTAAGAAGTACGGCTGATAGCAGGAGGCGGCTCCGCAGCCGGAGCAGCCGCTGCAAGGGCCACAGAGCACCCTCGGCCACGGCACGCACGCTCAGGGGGTACAGCGGGAAGAAGGCGCAGTTGTGCTCGTACAGGTAACCGCGCTCGGCGATGAAGAGGAAGTGCTCTGCGTCCCAGCGCGAGAGGCCTCCCAGCAGCCGCTCCACCAGCAGGTCCCACAGGCCAGGCTCCGACAGGCGAGGGGGACTGAAGGCATCTGCAGCATGATCTGGGATCAGGAGGTTAAAGAGAGCCTGGAAAAGAAGAGAAGGATTGAAGTCCGGCACAGATCCTGCACCCTGCTGAAAGCACCGAGCAGGAGGAGGGCTCCCGGGTTTCCAAGAGGAAAGCCAGGCTGAGGGGCTTTGCAGCAAGGATGCCTCCAAGACCGTGAAAAGGTGCAAACACAATCTTTTGAATGGACTGAAGCTCTGGAGCATGAATCCCCACGGAACTGGACAGGCAAAGCTGCTCAGCCCCACGCTCAGGCCCATCTCGCCACGTACGCTCCCACCAGGTACCTCTGCAGCACTGGTTAACCCTCCTGTTCTACTCAATTTGGCATCACTGTCCCAGCTGATGCCCAGGGGAGAGGAGACAGAACTAGAGAAAAACATTTTCCCAGAGCAAACCAACGCGGCAACAGCAGCCGATTCCCAGGCCGTGTCTCTAGCCCGGTCCATCGGCTCTGCAGCTCAGCGTGCGTGCCGGGGGTCGCTTTCCGGAGATAAGCAAGCAGAATGCACACACCTCCTGTCCCCAGGAGCTCGTGGTGCTGAGCACGTGTTACAAGGCGAGAGAAAACCCCCAGGAGCTGATGAGATAGGAGATAAGCAGTTTCATATATTGTGATGTAATTCGAGTTTAAACTGAAAGTGGGGAAGTTTAGATTAGGTATCAGGAAGTAATTCTTCCCAGAGAGGGTGGGGAGGCACTGGAACAGGTTGCCCAGAGAAACTGTGGATGCCCCATCCCTGGAAGTGTCCAAGGCCAGGTTGGATGCGGCTTTGCGCCAACACGGACCCCTGCCCATGGCAGGGGGTGGGACTGGGTGCACTTTGGGGGCCCTTCCCACCCAAACCATCCTGGGATTCTATGAATGCCAAATGAAAGCATGTTTAAAAAACCAAAACCAGCAGAAAACCTCAGACAGTAAATTTTGTAGCTTAACTACACGGAGATTGGGATGAGTCCCCTGCAATAAACTCAGGGTTGGCAGAGGAAAAAGGCCATACTGAACAAATTGGGACTAAAAGACCTACAAAGGCGCCGTTTTACCACGAAGCACACATCTGGTCTAACCAGGCCTCTGGCACGTGTAGCACGGAGTCTTTCATCTCAGCCAATGGTTCCACTCGGCCCAGCGGTGACCGGGGCTGCCGCAATCTGCCAGCTGGCTGCTGCCCTGCTGCTAAAGAGCGTTCTCGGGCCGGTTCTGCTTCAGCAGGGCCACGGCTAAAGCCAGACTCCTTGCTGGCTGCCTGGGTACGCACAGGTAGGATGGAGTAAGCATCCAAGCCCTCCCGTGCTCAGAGAAGGATGTCTCTGGAACTGAGACTTGGGAGGAACGTGCAGGAGATTATTGTTCCTCTTAAACGGAGGCTTCGGCCTCTCATGCTGCCAAAACGGGTTACAAGGATACGTATGGAATTTTACTTAGGAGCAACCTGCCTCCCTGGATGCAGCTGCTCCGTTGGTTCTCCAAAGGAGAAGACCGTTTCCCAGTCAAGCAGAACCAGCTAGCCCACGGCGCAGCCAGGCAGCCCAAAAGAGGGGCAGCAAACGAGCCGCGTGGCGGCATCTTTGGGTCAGGACCAGGAGACTTGCCTGCAGCAGAAGCGTCAGGGCTCTGCAGCACACCGCAAACCGCACGACCTCTCGGAGGTGGGGGTCTCGCCTGCTCACCAGCTCCATTCTGAGCTCGAAAGTTGCCTCAGTAGGTGAGCGATGCTAGGGAAATTCTCCTTCCGGTTCCGGAAACCTGAGGGGACAGAGACAGAAGGGTGTTTCTGGCTTTGGCCACGTTTGTAAATATGTGCCTTGACTTGCTATCAGGCACTTCAAAGGGCTGCAAATCTCTGTGAACAAAGAAAGTCCCTTAGGAAAGAGCATGGCACTGGGCGGTGACGCAGAGACCTCTCTGACATTGTTCCTATTAAAAAAACATAGTCAATGACTTCTTAACCTTGGCCAGGCCACAGAGGAGAGAGGTTACAGCATCCTCTCAGCCCGTTCCTTACCCGGCCAGTGTAAACATCAGAAGCCGACGCGCTCACTGGCCTCCTCAGCAGCAACAGCAGCGGCTGAAGCCAGGACCGCACCAAGCACCTAGGCACACATTCAAGTTCCAGCCAATGGGATTTAAACCTTTTTTTTTTTTTAGTGGAATAGAGATGGAATTCAAATGTGGACTCCGAACATGACATCCACATAAGCCGATCGCTTACCAGGGCTCGCAGCCGGCCAGGGGCTGCCAGGTTCACTCTCCTCTCTCCTGCTCCCTGCCCAGCCTTAGCCCCCAGGAAGCCGAGCGTGGCTTTATTCAGGGCTGCCTCCATGGCACCGACCCCACAAGCTCCGTCAGAGCGAGGATAAGGTGCCTTCTCAGAGACACAGGCTCCCCCCAACCCCTTCCATCGATTGCAGGTAGCATCTCCTGGCCGTGACGCTCGCCCCACTCCCCTCTCTCCGCCTGTAATTTTCCAGTATTTTGGCAGGGGTCCTGGTCTCCAGGGCGAGGGCATTTGCTTGTCAAGCAAACTGCATATGCTGAGGCGGCTCTCACCCACCTCCTCCCTGCACACCTCACCTGCAACTGCTCCGTGGAGTCTCACTGCCTGCTTTTCTGTCTGTTCTGGACTGACATTTGCCCAGAGAAGCTGTGGATGCCCCATCCCTGGGAGTGTCCAAGGCCAGGCTGGGTGAGGCTTGGAGCAACCTGGGCTAGTGGAAGGTGTCCCTGCCCATGGCAGGGGGGTTGGAACTGGATGATCTTTAAGGTCCCTTCCAACCCAACCCATTCCGTGATTCCATGACACGCTGGGACCAGCTACGAAAACTACGGGCCCGGGGCCACGAAAGGCAGGCAGAGTCTGTTATGCAGCTTTTTAAGATAACACATTTCTTCCGTTGGTTCGCCAGCCACCAACTGCTTTTCAGTTTGAGAGACAGCAGAGGCGCAGCTCTTGCTGTGTTCCACATCCTGCGCCGTTTCCCACCTGCCAGCTTTCTGATCCAGCCCCTTACGAGACATAAAGATGCCCAAATCGACCGCTTAACGACCTACAAACACGCTGGGGTTTTCCTATTCCCCTTTTACTGAGGGAGAAAAAAACCCAGCAGGTTAAAAACCATCCCAGAGAGCAGAAAACAAGCCACGAGCAAAGCGAAAACCAAGACCCAAATACGCTCGTTTCTAGCTCCAGCCCCTAAACCCCAGGATTGTGCTTCCTACTTAGCCACCTCCGAAAGTCTGGGGCTTGCTCACATTCTCCTCTTGCTCCAGAGCACCCAGCGGGAGACGCGTTCTCCCGAATCACGAAGCTGCAATGTTATCCGAAGAGAGGGGATACCTCAGCCCAGCTGGACGTTCTGTTCACGGCTGCAAATCCTGTTAAAACCCAGCGGCAAAAATTGTCCCGGCTCTTTCCACGTTTTCTAAAAAAGCAGAGGCCAAAAAAAAAAAGAAAGAGGCCTGGCGTGAATGTGCCAAGAAAGCTGAAAGCAAACAGCTTGAAAAAGCCGGTTGCTGTCACGACGCAGCACACCTTGCAACGGAAAGGCAAGAAACGCCGGAACGCGGCGTCA